GTCAGATTACATTACCTAAAATGTGTAATTTTATTTTATTTTATAAACAAAATATAAAAATAATAAGAAATACTATAAATACTAAATAAACACTACAAAATAAAAAAAATTAAAATAAAAAAATCAATAAAAGAAATTACTTAAATTATTTGGGTCAAAAGTAATCTAAAAGTAATCCAAAATTGTCAGATTACATTACCTAAAATGTGTAATTTTATTTTATTTTTAAAAAATATATAAAAATAAGAAATACTATAAAATACTATAAATACTAAATAAACACTACAAAATAAAAAAAATTAAAATAAAAAAATCAATAAAAGAAATTACTTAAATTATTTGGGTCAAAAGTAATCTAGAAATAATCCAAAAGTAGTCAGATTACATTACCTAAAATGTGTAATTTTATTTTGTTTTATTTAATTTTATTAAAAAAAGAAAAATAATAATAGTAATAATAAATACTATAAAATAAAATACTATACTATAAAATACTACAAAATAAAATAAAAATAAATCAATAAAAAATTACTTGAATTATTTGGGTCAAAAGTAATCTAAAAGTAATCCAAAAATAGTCAGATTACATTACCTAAAATGTGTAATTTTATTTTATTTTATAAACAAAATATAAAAATAATAAGAAATACTATAAATACTAAATAAACACTACAAAATAAAATAAAAATGTAAAAAAATCAATAAAAACAAATGACTTAAATTATTTGGGTCAAAAGTAATCTAAAAGTAATCCAAAATTGTCAGATTACATTACCTAAAATGTGTAATTTTATTTTATTTTTAAAAAATATATAAAAATAAGAAATACTATAAAATACTATAAATACTAAATAAACACTACAAAATAAAAAAAATTAAAATAAAAAAATCAATAAAAGAAATTACTTAAATTATTTGGGTCAAAAGTAATCTAGAAATAATCCAAAAGTAGTCAGATTACATTACCTAAAATGTGTAATTTTATCCTATTTTATAAAAAAAATAATAAGAAATACTATAAAATGAAATACTACACTATAAAATACTATAAATACTAAAACTACAAAAAAAGAAAAATTTAAATTATTTGGGTCAAAAGTAATCTAAAAGTAATCCAAAAGTAGTCAGATTACATTACCTAAAATGTGTAATGTAACAGATTATATTACTAACTACAATTTTTATCATGCAATTTGCATTTAGTAATGCTGAGAGACTGATTGAAATGATTTTCTGTGGTACTTTCCAGCATGTCTATACATCTCTGACACTGAAGAGACGATCCGTCTGACAGAACTCACCACATCACAGAAAAACCAGCCAATCAGCACTTCCTGTTTCATCACTTCAAAACAAAACAGACACAACAGAACAGAAGAAGAAACAAAGAGAAACACGTGCAAAACAAACGAGACGCGGCAGACACCTCGTGACGGGAGACGAGGGGTTAAACAGAAATAAACACCGGAGTAACTGAAGCAGAATGAGGACATTTAGATGGCCGTTTCCAAGCGCTTCAGAGGCTATACCTTCTTCTTGGCCTGCAGCATCTCCTGGTAGGCGCTGGATCTGATGAAGCGGCTGTAGGAGTCACTCTTCATGAGTTTATAGATGTGCTCCTGATGAAGCACAAACACACAGCGTTCAGGAGACGATGACGAGAGCCTCACGTGAGCCGAGTAAAGCTGAAACACAGACCTGAGCGTCCTGGAAAGCGTATCGGCCGGGATCCTTGATGTTCTGCGTGGTTTTGTCGTAGCTCCTGGAGTCGACGTTGATGGCACTCGGAGCTCCAGAAGCCAGAAACTCGTCCCAGATCTCCTGCACCCTGCTGGGAACCTCCCGGATCGGGCGCTTCTTCAGCTCCTGCACCGCCAGCCAGAACCTGCACAGATTTGACAAAAAATATTTCAACATTTCAAAAAATACATATTAATGTAATATAGTTGGGTGCAATGCTACATTTACTTTTTGTTTATTTATTTAAAAATGTAAAATAATAATAATAATAATAAATACATTTTAATATAATATAGCCAGATATAATGCAACATTTACTTTTTGTTTATTTATTTAAAAATGTAAAATAATAATAATAATAATAAATACATTTTAATATAATATAGCCAGATATAATGCAACATTTACTTTTTGTTTATTTATTTAAAAATGTAAAATAATAATAATAATAATAAATACATTTTAATATAATATAGCCAGATATAATGCAACATTTACTTTTTGTTTATTTATTTAAAAATGTAAAATAATAATAATAATAATAAATACATTTTAATATAATATAGCCAGATATAATGCAACATTTACTTTTTGTTTATTTATTAAAAAATGTAAAATAATAATAATAATAATAATAATAGTACATT